GAATTAGAAAAATGGCAAATGATATGGGAGAGAAACTATAAATTAACAATGTCAACTTCATATACAGAAAATCTGTATAAAATGTTTTATAGATGGCACCTGCCACCAGCAAGATTAGCAAAAATGTTTAAAAATATGTCAGATAGATGTTCGAAATGTAAACATAACATAGGCACGTACTATCACATTTGGTGGACATGTGGTAAGGCAAAAGCCTATTGGAGAAAGATACATATGTGGTTAGAAAAAATACTGGGTGAACAAGTGGATTTTAAATCTGAACTTTGTTTATTCAGCATTATGCCTGAAAAGACTAATAAGCAGAAACTATTATTAAATATTAACATATTTAATCTTACACATCACCACAGCAGCGAGAATAATTTTTGCACAAGACTGGAAGAATGAAGGATTGCCATCAGAAGAAGAAATAATCAGGAAAATACTGGAATGTGCAGAGATGGACAGATTAACTATGAGGTTGAAAGATAAAGAAGATACACACTATTATCAAATTTGGGACCTATTTTATTGTTGGCTAGAAGAAAGGATGAAGGATTAGGAATTGAACATGTATTAGCATAGCAAACTCGAGACAACTTGTTGATTGGAAAAATTAACATATGTTTATGAAAAAAAAATACTATCTATCTATCTATCTATCTATCTATCTATCTATCTATCTATCTATCTATAAAAAGACATGGTGAGTTCAAATCCTGCCTTGGCCATGAAAGCCCTGGATGACTTTGGGCCAGTCATTTTCTCTCAGCCCAACTCATCTCACAGGGTTATTGTTGTGGGGAAAATAGGAAGAGGAAAGTATGAAGGATATGTTCACTGTCTTGAGTTATTTGTAAAAAAATTAATAAATAAAATAAAAAATAGAGATACATTAGAGTGCATAATGCCGGCCTTGAAATATAATACATAATGATTCTACAAGCACAATTTATATAATACACATACTTTTTAAACATTTCATACATACAGATTAAAAAAGCATCTGGCCTTCAACATTAACTAGAAATAAAAAATCCAGTGTTCTCAGAACACAGCATCAGCTGAAAAGCTGCCATGTTCTATGAAAAAATATAAACAAAAGTATGACAAAGAAAACATGAATCAATATACTTAATATAGGTAGAGTATCTTACCTATATTGTTATTGTTATAACACCCACTTTCAAGCTCTCTATTTTTACATAGTAGGAAAGAAACCCAGAAATAAAAGAACAGCTTAAATCAGGGCTTTTCAACCAATGGTACATGTACCACTGATGATACATTGTCACCAGGCAGATGGTATGCGACCCTGCCTAGCCTAGACAAGTGTAGTGGAGAGAAGGAATGAGCTAAAGTGGCGGAGCACAGGAGCTGCAGGACTCCTGGGGTGAGACAAAGGCCTCAGGATCGGCACTTCCGGCACACTGGGAAGAGAAAGGAGGAAGTGGGCGGAGACAGGAGAGGATATAAAAGGAGGCAATTTTGGTGAGAGAGGGAGAGAAAAAAAAGACGCAGCCTTGGAGGGACTTCTGGTCCTGCGCATCAGTGCAGCAGTCAAGAGGTTCAGGATTCCGTGCCCTTCGGCTAAGTTTCTTCCTGTTAGGGGACCCTAAATGGGCCAGAAGCCACCCCAAAGAAGAGCAAAGAAGGAAGGAAGTCCCGGGGATGTCAGAGAGACAGCGGTTGACCTGATCCGTCCAGGAGAAGCCTTCCAGAAACCAACAGGAGAAAGGCTAGCCTAACTTCAAAGTCCAGCCCAAGCTGCAAGCAACCAAAGTCAAAAGCACTATTGTAAGCTGATTGTAAACAGTGCATTTGAATCTGGATAAGAACATTGATTTTCTCTATCCTACTTATCAACTTTCCTGAAGAAAAAAAAAATCCCAAGAAGCAAAAAATATCTGAAAGTGAAGGAAGGGGATTTTTGCCCCACCCTTTTACTAACGGAAGCGGCGAATTAAATCTTTTATGGAGGACCAAAATATATTGAAATGAAATGAAATGACTATAAAACCTAAATTCGAATAAGTTTGAAATTACTGAATGATTAAGATTCTATTTTAAAGCAATTTGTTCATTTTGAAAATTTGAAAAATAAACCAGTGCTGACATCTATTGGTGGATGAAGACTACGACAGCTATGGCTTTCATGCAGGACTTGGCAAAATCTGGAAAAAACTAATCTCTACTTGTGACCTTCAAAGCTCTAACAATAGAGAACAGCTGTGACAAAAAAGAAAACAATCTGGGCTGCAGACAAAGTGAGACTTACAAACTTCAGGGAACAAAAAAAAAAAACTTTTTTGAACTTTCTGGATTACAAGTATCTATTTAACTCTGACCCCAAAGCTATTTGCAGAGAAAAGAAAATTTGGATTCTTGGTCATCATGAAAAATCAGAGATTTATAGAAAGAACCTATCAAGAAAAAATAAATACTTTTCAAGAGGAGACATGTGATATGTTGCAACTAATTCAAATAACAATGATTTCAAACCACAAAGAAATCCAAAATAGCTTTGAAATTATAAACCAATTCATCTCCAATTTAACTTTACAACAACAACAAAAAAAATCCTAGGAAACAACAACAGAGAAGGAACAGATAAAACAGACAACTGAATACAAATTTGAGGATAGAGACTTAAAAGTGGAACCTAACAAAACAAAGAAGTATGATTTAACCCAAGTGGAAAAAAATTACAAGAAATACTGGATTTGGAAAAGACAACTTATACTTTAACACCACAAAACAAATTTGAGGATAAGAAAAGAGATTGGGCAAAATGGACTGCAGAGATGCCAGGAAAAACACTAGAAGTGGAGAGACAAAAAATGATAAGAGAAGGAGAGAAAAAGAAAAAGATTTTCAACAAAAATGAATGGGCAAATGTCTCTCCCAAAGATATTGTACTTGTCTTACCTTTTATATCTATAGTAACACCTACAAGAATATGGAAAGCTTCTTTGATTCAGCAGAACATATTGGGCAAAAGTGAAAATTAAGAAAATAGACGATGGGGCCTATCAGAGAGAATATTTAAAAAAGAAACACCTGTTCAAATCCATTGGCATCCTTCAGTCTCGAGACTATGGTATCGTGCTCTGGAGAGAGGTCCTAAGGCAGCATCTGGTGTAGCTAAAAAGGCCAATTCGAGATTGGCAGTCTCTTTCACACTGAGGACAGATACAATCTGTCCCCTGTCCAGCCCCTAGATTTTGCTGGTTCTGGGACTGCCTCTTTACCTCAGCCTGCCGCACGAGTGTCTCTTCAAATTGGAGAAGGCCATGCTGTGTCTTTAGCCTCCAGGCTGAACGATCAGAGATCAAGGATTCCTAGCTGTTAATGTCCGTTCCCAAGGCCTTTAGGTCTCTCTTGCAGATATCCTTATATCGCAGTTCAGGTCTCCCTCTGGGGCACTTTCCCTGCACTAGTTCTCCATACAGGAGATCTTTCGGAATCCGACCATCAGCCATTCTCATGACATGCCCAAGCCAGCGTAGACGTCGCTGTTTCAATAGAGATTCCAGCACATTCCAGGACTGTGCTTGTCATGCCACGTGATACCGAGAATACGTCGGAGACAGCGCATATGAAAAGTGTTCAGCTTTCTCTCCTGCCATACATGAAAAGTCCAAGACTCACTGCAGTACAAGAGTGTGCTCAAGACGCAGGCTCTATAAACCTGGATCTTTGTATCCATACTCTTTTTGTAAGTTTGGAAAATGTGGGGGCTGCTTTACCAATACGTTTATTTAGCTCAGTATCTAAAGAGAGAGTGTCAGAGATAGTTGAGCCAAGGTACACAAAGTCATGGATAACCTCCAATTCCTGTGCAGAGATTGTAATACAGGGAGATGGATCCACATCCTGAACCATGATTTGTTTTTTTTTCAGGCTGATTGTTAGATCAAAGTCTTGGCAGGTCTTACTAAAACAGTCCATAAGTTGTTGAAGATGTTCGGCAGAGTGAGCCGTAACGGCAGCATCGTCAGAGGAAATCCCATAGGCATTTCAGCTGGACTTTAGACTTTGTTCTCAATCTAAAGAGATAAAAGAGTTTTCCATCTGATCTGGTTCAGAGATAGATACCCTCTGTTGCAGTTCCAAAAGCATGTTTCAGCATGACAGCAAAAAAGACCCCAAATAAAGTTGGCACAAGGACGCAGCCCTGCTTCACTCCACTTCGAATGTCAAAGGAATCTGATGTTAGGCCATCAAAAACAATAGTGCCCTTCATATTGTCATGGAAGGACCTGATGATGTTGAGGAGCTGAGGTGGACATCCAATCTTGAAGAGAATTTTATATAAGCCATCCGTACTAACCAAGTCAAAAGTCTTCGTAAGATCTATGAAGGCTACGAAAAGTGGCTGTCTTTGTTCCCTGCATTTCTCCTGCAACTGTCTAAGGCAGTGATGGTGAATCTTTTAGAGACTGAGTGCCCAAAAACCACCCTGCCCACCCGCTTTACTCCGCCTTTTGCCCTGTCCACCCGCAGGGCCACCCACCGCCTCCATGGTCTGCCGCAGATTGCCCAGGCAGCCCTTCAGCACCATGGTGGCCATGCCCTCTGCCCGTGCCCTGCAGCATTATTTGCATGCGATGGGGTGCGAGGACAGAGTCTTGTCCCTGCTGCCCAGCTGCCATGTCCTAGGATATGCTGCTCTGCATGGATCCCACCCAGGGGTGACTCTCCTCTGGGGGGGCTGCTGGTGAGGAGGGGGCCACGGGGGGAGAGGGGGCTGGGGCAACAGCACATGTGCCCACAGAGAGGGCTCTGAGTGCCGCCTCTGGCATGCATGTGCCATAGGTTCGCCACCACTGGTCTAAGGGAAAATACCATGTCAATGGTGGATCTGTTGGCTCGGAATCCACACCGTGATTCTGAATAGACTCTCTCTGCAAGCACCTGGAGCTTCTTCAGTACAAGACGGGCAAGCAGCTTCCCTACAACAATAAGAAGAGAGATGCCACGATAGTTGTTACAATCACCTGTCGCCTTTGTTCTTATACAGTATGACGATATTTGCATCCTTCATGTCCTGTGGTACTCCACCTTCCTTCCAACAAAGGCAGAAAATTTCGTGCAATTCAGTGGGGATGCTATCTTTGCAGCACTTCAGGATTTCAGCAAGGATGTTATCTTTCCCGGGTGCCTTGCCGGAGGCAAGGGAATCCAGGGCCGCATTTAATTCTTCTAGAGTTGGTTCACTGTCGAGCTCCTCCAAGGCAGGCAGGCACTGTTCGAATATGGTTAAAGAAATAGAAAAAATTTGGATATGAATTTGATTTTAAGAGGAAAGAGCCCCTCAAGTAACATAGTACTTTCTTCTTCTTCTTTCTTTTTATTTTATTTCTTGATATGAGTAATATAAAAGAATTGGAATGACTTATATAAAGAAAATGTTTTAGATATCTAAAGGTGATTGACTTTAAGAAAATTACAATGGATTAAAAATGTTTTGAATAAGAGTTAAAAGACTAGAGGACTAGATTTATTAAATGGAATATTTAAAGATTAAAGATATTTTTAATTATGGTAAAAAAGAATGAATTTTTTTGGAAATAAATATGTATTAGCTTTTAAGAAATAGGGATTTTAAATAGCATTTTTAAAAAAAATTATTCTTTTTTCTTTTTTTAGTCTTATTTATTCCTTAAGAAAGGTAAACATATTGGGTTGGCTTATATGAGAAAAAATAGACTTAAATGTTTAAATGTAATTAACATTGAGAAAATCTTAACCAGTAAGAACATTTTGAACATTGTGGGAAAAACAAATGTAAACAAGAACTGTAAACAGGATCTATGATGAGACAACTATAATGACTAGATAGAAAAGGAATATTATATTGATGTGATTATTATCTGTAGAAATATTAGAAAACTTTTATACTTAATTGTCATTCACTAAAATAACAAGAATTGTATTAACTTAAGGTTGGTAAAAGAGAATATTATGGGAAAAAGAGGAAATCAAGTAAAGTTATTATGTGGATTATAGATTATAGAAATCAACTGTTAGTGAATGTTTCTTAAATGTAAATCCAGACAACACAGTTTACCGAATATTAAGGTGATTATGTTAAAAAATTAATAAAACATATATTTTTTTTAAAAAGATGCAGCCTTGGGAAGAGGAGTCAGCTGGACCTGCATTGAAGAGAAAAGAAGGAGGGGGGGAGAGATGATAAAAAACAGGCCAGAAGGGAGACAATCTACAACTTTATGGCAGCCATCCGTGCCAGGCACATACAAGTGGCAGCGAAAAACAGGAAGAAACGCCTTCCACAAGAATGAAGAAAGGCAGAATCCGTTGGAGGTGACCAACAATTGGCCCTCACCCACTTCACACACCCAGCTCTGGGGGAGGGGATGCAGTGAGTGACATGAGAGCCCACTTTACCTGCATCGTGCCATCCAGTCCCCAGCCTGCCCAGTTTCAGCAGGCAGCAGTGCACTCTCTTCATCACATGAAGAGGCTGGGCCGGGTGAGGAGAAGATGGCAAGAAGCTGAACCTGCCTGGGTATGCCCAACAGAAGGAAGGAAGGAAGGAAGGAAGGAAGGAAGGAAGGAAGGAAGGAAGGAAGGAAGGAAGGAAGGAAAGAAGGAGATGGGAATGAGAAATAGAGAGGCAGGGAAGGATGGAGGGAAACAGGAAAGAGGTGGGGATGAGAAGCAGGGAGAGGGAGGGAAGGAAACAGGAAGGAAGGAGATGGGAATGAGAAGCAGGGAGGCAGGGAAGGAGTGAGGGAAAGGAAATGAGGAGGCAAGGAAGGAAGGTAGGTTGGAATGAGAGAGAGTGAGGGTCTGAGGAAATCTTCCCTTAGCACTTGGCCACAGCAGCCCTGCTGCCTTTCGTTACCCCTTTGTCCCCTCCTCCTGGCCTATCCTAGTGGTCTCCCATACTATCACTAAGGATACTTTGGTTGCAAAGCTGGGTCTCCTCACATGGAGAGGAAGTGGGCCTCCCTCTGACCCATGCACTTTGCCCTCCTGAGCAACTCACTAAGAATAACCTGGTCAAGAAGAGCAAGCACAGCAGCAGCAGCCTCAAAGAAATAAACACAGCCGAGCACCCATTGGGGGAAGTGGGGCTGGACTGGGTTGCACTGCGGAGTCCTGATGCCCAGGAGCTCGAGGGCTGGGCTGGGCTGGGCACTTGCCCTCCACTGCCAAGGGCTCCGGGCAGTCCATGCACCATCTGGGAGTCCCCCCATGGCCCAATAGGGACGGCAAGGCTCCTCTGGTGGACCATGCCCCTGCGTCCACCCCGTCCCACCTCCCTCTACCAGAAACCCCCAGATCCCCCCCCCAGTTTACCTGCCCCACCACAGGTGCCCCCTGATCTGAGCAATGTTCCACTGGCCATGCCCCCCCAGCCCCCTGATGGTAACAATGCTAATGTGGCCCTCAATGAAATCAAGTTTGACACCTGTGATATAAAAGAAAGAGGGGGGAAAGGAGAGAATATAAAAGGAGGAGGGGGGATAGTAAAGGATATAAAAAGAGGGGGAGAGAGGAGATGATATAAAAGAAGGGGGAGAACTTTGTTAAATGAGTTTTACTCCATTTATGACTTTTCATACCACATTTGTTAAGTGAATCACTGCAGTTATTAAATTTGTAACACGGTTGTTAAGTGAATTTGGTTTCCCCATTGACTTTGCTCATCAGAAGGTTGCAAAAGGGGATTGCATGACACTGGGATACTGTGACCATCATAAATATGAATCAGTTGCCAAGCATCCAAATGTAAATTATATGACCCTGGGGATGCTACAACAGTCATAAGTGTGAAAAATGATCATAAGTTACTTTTTTCAGTGCCGTTGTAACTTCGAACAGTCACTAAGTGAACTGTTGTAAGTTGAGGATTAGCTATACTTTTATCAATTTTTCCCTTTTTTTATTTTTGTAATCAAGTTTTTAACACCTTGTTGGTGACTGCTGGTAGTCGAATATTGCCATACCCTAAAAGTGGTACAATCTGTGAAAAGGTTGAAAAGCCCTGGCTTAGAAGAGGGTTGATTCACATATGCTTGCTTATTATTTGCATGGCTTAAAGTTTGTTATATCAGTTAGTACCAATGAGTAATTATTGTGATGGGTGTAAGGTATTAGAGCGATTAAATTTTATCTGTGATGTTAAGATATACATTTTACTTACAATTTGCCAAAAGTGAATTCTTCAGGGAAAGTAAAATACCTGAATTTTAACTGAGTTCTTGTCAGGAAAATAAAGAAAGGAAGATGAAGGAGCCATGGTCGCGCCCTGGTTAGAATGCAGTACTATAGGCTGACTCTGCATTGTCACTGCCAGGAGTTCAATCCTCACTGGCTCAAAGTTGACTCAGCCTTCCATCCTTCTGAAGTCAGTAAAATGAGGACCCAGATTGTTGGGGGCAGTATGCTGACTCTGTAAACCACTTAGATAGGGCTGTAAAGCACTGTGAAGCAGGATATAAGTGCTACTGCTGGTGCTATGTTCCACAGGCTTTTCATACCTGTGCAAATCACTTTCTTGTTACATGCTGGTACAGAGAATAGATGAAAGAGAAGTGCAATTTTAATGAATTTTAAAAAGCACTATTTCTCCCAAACCTGATTTTCTTATTTGTAAGGAGTCCTTAGTGCTATCTGACCTGGGTTGTTTTCTTGTAGATATTTCTACTAGCACTGATGATATTATCTAGTTTGGGTAATAAAATGTCTGCAAGAAAACATTCTGGTTGAATTATAGGAATGGCTGGCTGAGTGCAGTATTTATGAAAACAAACATGTGGTTAGTCTTACTTGGAGCTGTAAGTAGGTAAGTTTGAATCATTCTCCATTTTTAACACACTTGACCACCTCAATACATATGTGAACCAAACTGAAATGACCTATATTGCATAAGAAATCAATTTTAACACAATGGACTGTGTTTCTTTAAACAATGGGCAAAGGGTCACATGTTAGAAAATATTCTTCTAATTCTAAAGCATTAGCAACAAAACATTGCAAATACAAATAAGGTTCCAATAAAGGAGAATATTTGTAGCTCAGGGTTGACATGAGGGATCCCTGGTGCTCTCTGAGCTTGATAGTTTTCTTGCAGACATTTCATTATCCAAACTAGGTAACATCATCAGTACTAGTAGGACCTATTACCTTTCTTTAAAACTGATTCAGACCTATTATCTACTTGCAGTTGATCCAAAAAAGACCAACAACATGTTTATTTTCATAAATGCTGTAATCAGCCATTCCTATAATTCAGCCAGATTGTTGTCCTAAGCCTGGGAATCTTTCTAAGTCGGTGTTTGAGGAACATCGTTGCACAGGTAATGCAATAAAAAGGGGAGTACCTACTACACTCTGGATTGGGCTAACCTCAATAGCTTACTGCATAGTACCTGAAAAAAGCTTCTGTCTCTGAAAAAAATGTTTATCATTCCACTGAACAAATATCCTGCAACAAAAAGAAACAGTTTAATTAATTGTTCATCATAGGTATCTGGCTCTCGTGTGTTTGGTTAGTACATTGCTTACCCTTTCATCTTGTTACTTTACAGAACTCCAGGTGCACTATCCAAGTGAGCTATGCCAAGAGGCAAAAAGAGAGAAACACTTGTGCTTATTACCTATTGGCTCTGGTCTAGGGCATTTACTCTTCTGAGCAGTTTGCAATGATTTTTCTTCAGATTCACTCTTGTGTATTTAATAAGCAGTGTGACATGCAGGTATTAATAAATGACAAACATATTTGCATCGTGAGAAACCACATTGCAGTTTAAATTGCTTATTTGAAAAGCGTAAGAGCTAGCCAAGCCAATTCTGGACAGAAAGTTAGTAACCTGTCTTGCCAAAGCCCAGCAGAGTTTTCTAAGTGCACCATTTAAGCTTCTTCATCTCATCCAATGATCCTCCTGATTTCTAGAAAAAGAGCTGAATGTTCTTAATGGCTCCTCTGACATGAAAGCCTTCCTTCAGGTTGTGACTTTTCTGGTAAAGCTCACAGAATTTTATCAGTTTCAAGGTAGAATAAACTCTGCTTGCCATGGAAATGGGACAGGTATTCTCTCATAACAGATAATAAAATTATTATTGTAAATAATGAATATGACCATGGTTTAACATGCACAAATGGTTTGAGAACTATAGAAAAGAGAGAGAAACCCCCCTCAGAAATAGGACAGGAGAAATAGTTTTGCAAACAGGATGCAGTTGCAGTACACAAATAAAAGATTGATAAGTGTGTGGGAAAATGCACGCGCAGCAAACTGCCATGCTTTCCCCCCCCCACAAACCTCATAACC